GCTGTGACTTAAGGTTTAAAGATTGTCTTAGGGCAGTGTTTTAGGGTTTACCCAACCTTCATGATTCCAAGAAGGCTTGAGTTTGTTGTAAGAATTTGAAATTCTGTTTTTTATTTTCCCCCTTTTGATCATAGTTCTTATATGGACGCGTTCATTAAAATGATCAGAATGGTGGCTGGGCACCATCCAGTTCTTCTGATATGATGGTAAAGGAGGCAGTTGTTTATGGATTCAATGAGCCACACATTCCATATCCTTCTATTCCTAACTCCCCTTCTTCCTCTACTGTCCAGACAAAAAGAGATCAATTGTGTTTTTAGGAGCTGTTTTCAAGCTTTTAAGACCTAGGCACTGTACAAAGAACTATGAGGTTGAACAGAAGCACTGCCTAATTAAGCCATTTAAGTAGGAAGTCTTGTGAAACAATGACCCTAAGCCGCCAAACCCAGAAACCAAATCCCAGGAGGTTTTTGGCTGTGTATAAACAGCCTCAGCAGCTACTACTTAGTATTGTGTGTGTGTGTGTGTGTGACACACTCTGTTGCCAATTCAGCTTTTTAACAGGATATAGTGGATTAGCTGTTGGATTGCTAACTGCAAGGTTAGCGAATTGAACCCACATCCGAGTCTTGGGAGGAAGATGAGGCTGTCTTCTCCCATAAAGATTTTTTAAAGTCGGCCAGCAGGCGGCGCGGCGGAGCGGGCCCGGCGCCTCGCCTCAACCCCCGCCGGCCGCCGCGTTGAGCGGCTCCTCCTCGGGCACCCAGTAGTACCTGGGTAGCAAAGTCAACCTCATCTCCAAGGCGCAGATCCGCTACGAGGGCATTCTCAACACCATCGACTGACAACTCCACCGTGACGCTCGCCAGAGTGAGGTCCTTCGCACAGAAGACCGTCCCACAGAGCGGCCTGCGTCCCCTAGAGAGGAGGTCTATGAGTACATCATCTTTCGGGGCAGGGACATCAAGGACAGCACTGTGTGGAACCCCCAAAAGCACAGCACACTCTTCCTCAGAACACTGCCATTGCCCAGTCCCCCCTAGGCTCGGCATCCGCGTCGTCCTTCCAGCCACACGTGCCTTACTGCCCTTTCCGAGGGATGCCGCCCTACAGCCAGCTGGCCGCCAGCTCCCTGCTCAGCCAGCAGCAGCATGCAGCCTCCCTGGTCTAGAGAAGGTGGTCAGGCTCCAGTCTCAGCCGCCGCCTCCACCCCCAGCTCCTCTCCATCGCCTCAGCCTGGGCTAGAGCTCCACATGTCCTCAGAGCCGCAGCAGCTGACTGCCAAGGCAGCTTTTCCATCCATCCCGGCGGGCGGCGAGAGCCCCATGGTGGAGCAGTCTGTGCAGACGGGCTCCGTGGACAACCTCAACAGCACGAAGCTGTTGCCCAGCAAGGGCTCCGTAGGTGCACAGCTCCACAGTCGCCAGGCCCAGCCGCGCAGCAAAACGGCCAGCGATGTCGCTCAGCCCGCTGTTGTGCAGAGTCGGGCAGGTGAACGGCGAGAACAGAAGGCCTCAGCGGAGAAGATCAGGGAACCAACGGATGAAGAACTCCCGAGGGCAGGCCGGCCCTGCCGGCACCAAGGAGCGCACCATCAAGTTTGATGGTGACTTTGACTTTGAGAGTGCAAATGCTCAGTTCAACCGGGAAGAGCTGGACAAAGAATTCAAGAAACTGAATTTTAAAGACGACAAAGCCGAGCAGGGGGAAGAGAAGGACACGGCGGTGGTGACTCCAAGCGACGAAGCCCCCACTGAGGAAGACCTCCTGGGACCCAATTGCTACTATGACAAGTCCAAGCCCTTCTTTGACAACATCTCCTCTGAGCTCAAGACCAGTTCCAGGCGGACTATGTGGGCCGAGGAGAGGAAGCTCAACACGGACACTTTTGGTGTGTCTGGCCGGCTTCCCCGAGGACACAGCTTCCTGGGTGGCTCTCGAGGGGGCAGAGGTGCTGGAACTGCCCGCTGCAAACCGACCACCCACAGAGCCGGGACTGCAGCCAGGGCTCCTGAAGAGGGGGTGTGGCAGACACGCAGAGGACACACTTGATGAGGGAGAAGCGGCCACATCGAATGGTCATCTTTCCCACTTCTTGTTGGACTGAACTTGGCGTGTCTGGGGCCTTCGGTGGGCTAGTTCTAGCCCCAGCCCCATACAGCCCATCCTTCCTCAGGACTCCATAGTGAGTTTCTTCCACCGGGCAGCTTTATGGCAGCGTTGACTTTTAAAAGCGCAAATGACATTGGCAAAGGTGGCCGCCCTGCCTGCCCAGCGTGTCCCCACAGCCTGCCACCCAGGGCCAGACCAGGGGATCGTGTCATAAAGCAATCTGGGCACCTTGCCATCTGCAGCAAGCGAGGAGGACTGGGAGAGCCCCTCTGGTTAAGATGGGCCCAAACTTTGCTCTGAGCCAGCAGCACCAGCCTCCACAGGGGTGGGATCAAAGCCCAGCCAGGTGGGGGTCCTCCCTCATCCA